TGGAACTGTGTTATCCTCACAATCTTTGTTATGCTTGAGCCCATTGCTGCTGCCACAGTGCCACTTCATCTCATTGGAGGTCTTCCTCTTTTTCACTGAACCTCCACATTACCTAACATGATGTACTTCTCCAGGAATTGATCCCTTCTGATATATGTCCAACGTATAAGAGACAAAGTTTAGCCATCCCAGATTATAGGGAGCATTCTGACTGAGCTTGTTCCAACACAGATTTATTTGTTCTTTTGGCAGTGTGGTAAAAGAATACAACAACAACAATAATGCATTCCCTTCATTTACTGTACTCTGTATGAGAAATATTTTAAGCTTATGTGGTGTACACAGATATTATGAAAAAGGAAGCTAAGGAGTTTATGTGTGTAAAACACTTAAAACAGTGCCTAACACACTAGAAGACTCAAGGGTGATGCAAATGGTTCGTAGGTTTGGTTGCAAGTTTAAGTCTACTTTGAGACATTTTAGAGGACAAGTTTGGTGGTATAATTTCAAAATCAGTCATTGAAAACTTTGTGGGGTACTCATCTGACATAAATGAGATCACCATGAGCCAAAGTTACTTTATGACAGCTAATTAATCCATGATTTTTTTGTGTGTATTTTTTTGTTTGTTTGTTTTTTGGGGGGTTTTTTTGCTTTACATCAAGAAAATTATTTAATTCAAAGATCCCATTTTTTTTCAAATTTTATTTTACATCAAATGTTTAAATAATATACCCAATCCTGTTAAATGCAAACCACCACTCATCTCTCAGTTTGTCATACTAGGGTGGCTTTTGTGTTGATGTGATGCTGGAAGCTATGCTATCTATATTTTAAATACCAGCAGGGTCACCCGCGGGAGCGGAGCGGCTGGTAGTTTCGAACTGCTGACCTGTAAGTTTCTCAGGACGATTCATAACCACTATGCTACCAGAGCTCCTGGTGGTAGGTGCCATCAAATTGGAACCAACATAGTGAACCCCTGAACAACAGAATGAAACACTGCCTGGTCCCGCAACAACCTCACAATCGTCTTGTTTGAGCCCATTTCTGCTGCCACTATGCCTATCCATCTTGTTGGGGCCTTCCTCTTTTTCTCTGACCCTCTACTTTATCAAACATGATGTCCTTCTCCAGGGACTGGTCCCTCCTGATAATATGTTCCAAGTATGAGAGATGAAGTCTCACCATTCTGGCTTCCAAGGAGCCTTCTGGTTCTACTTCTTCTAACACAGATTGGTTTGTTCTTTTGGCAGACCACAGCACTTTTAATATTCTCCAACACCATAGCTCAAATGCCTCAATTCTTCTATGGTCTTCCTTACTCACCATCCAACTTTCACGTGTATATGAGGCTATTGAAAATACCATGGCTTGGGTCAGGTTCACCTTAGTCCTCAAACTGACATCATTGCTCTTGAAAACTTTAAAGAGGGCTTGTGAGCAGATTTGCTTAAAACAATATGTCATTTGATTTCTTAACTGCTGTTTCCATGATTGTTGATGATTTATTCAGGCAAAATGAAGTCTTTAACAACTTCAATCTTTCCCCCATTTATATGGATGGTGTTTATTACTTCAGTGGGGAGGATTTTTGTTTTCTTTACATTGAGGTGCAATGCATACCAAAGACTGTGGTCTTTGATGTTCATCAGTAAGTATTTTAAGTCCTTTTTGCTTTCAGCAAGAAAGGTTGTGTTATCTGCATGATGCAAGTTACTAATGAGCTTCCTCCAATACTGATGCCATGTTTCTCTTCATATAATCCAGCTTCTTGAATTATTTGCTCAGTATGCAGATTGAATTGAATAAGTATGGTGAAAGAATACAACCCTGGCACACACCTTTCCTAATGTTAAAACATTCAGTGTTCCCTTGTGCTGTTTGAACAACTGCTTCTTGGTCTATGTATAGGTGTTTAAGCTCAGCAACCACTCCTCAGAAACCCTATACAGGGTTTCTATGGGTCAGAACTGACTCAACGGTGCTTAACAGCAACAACAATTGGCAAAATATTGAATGATGCAGAACAGATTAAAAAATGGGAGGAATACTATTAAAAATATAGTAATACAAAATTACTATACCCAAAAGAAATAGTTAATCTTCAACCATTTATAGAGGTAGCCTATGATCAATAGCCAGTGATAATGAAGGAAGAAGTCTAAGGTGCACTGAAGGCATTGGCAAAGAACAAGGCTCTGGGAATAGATGGAAAACAAACTGAAATATTTCAACAAACTGATGCAATGCTGGAGGGATTCACTAATCTATGCTAAGAAATTTGGATGATAGCTAATTGGTCAACTGATTGGAAAAGATCCATATTTGTGCAAAGACAGGTGAGTCACGGAATGTGAAGATCATCAGACAATATCAGTTAATATCACACGCAAGTAACAGTTTGCTAAAGATAATTTTTAACTGGCTTAAATATTACACTGACAGACAACTGCCAGAGGTTCAAGCAGGATTCAGATGAGGACCTGAAACGAGGGATATCATTGGTGACTTCAGAAGGATCTTGTTTGGTAGCAAAGAATACCAGAAAGATGTTTACCTGTGTTTTATTGACTATACAAAGGCTTTTGATTATGTGGACAACATTGTGGAGAATGAGTATTCCAAAACACTTAATTTTGCTCATGTGAACCTGTACATGGACCATGACGCAGTTGTTCAAGCAGAACAAGAGACCACAGACTGGTTTAAAATTAGGAAAGGTGTGCTTCAGGGTTGTATTCTTTTTGTATATGGAGTCCTGGTGTAGGCACTGTAGAATAAGAACTGGACAACAAGGCCATTTGAATCACAAGGTCGACAGTTCAAATTCACCAGCCGCTCGTCTGAAACCCTATATAGGGTCCCTATAAGTTGGAATGGACTCAAAGGCACTTAGCAACAACATATTTAACATATTTCAGATTTTCTACTTCTTTGAAACAAAATATATACATATATGTTCTTTTCTATCTGGAGTCTTTCAGAGATGTGGTTAGTGGTGGTGGTTACGAGCCAGGAAGTCCTGGTGTGGTGCTGTGGGATAGTGCACTGGACTGCAAGGTACAATCATGCACATAATTATTACTTTTTTTCCAGAGGAAATCAAGGATGGGTGCTAAAGTCATTAGCGAATGTTAACATCTAAAGATGAAATGACATCAATTGTTGTTAAGTGTCGACGAATCGGTTCCCACCCACAGAGACCCTGTATAGGGTTTCCGAGGAGTGGCTGGTGAGCTTGAACCGCTGACCTTGTTGTTCAAACCGACTTTGCAGTCCAGCGCGTTAACCTACAGCGCCACACCAAGACTCCAAAATCAATTACATCCTTCCAATTAAAAAAAAAAAAAATACTGTCAATAATAAAAGACAAATTGGGAAGCACTAAAATGCATCTTTTATTATTGATATTTTAAAAGATCTATTACATTCTTCCAATTAAAAAAAATATTATCAATAATGGAAGATACATTTTAGTGCTTCCCAATCATTTCCACAAATTCACCCTAACTCTTCCAAAGCAGCCGCAGGTAGTGAAGAGCAGCTGCGCTGGCCTGAGCCGAGCCAGTGCGCAGGCGGGCTGAGAAGCGGAAGCGGAGAGGCCGGGAGGCGGAGCTTAGGCCGGGACCAGCGAGCGGAAGACGGTGGGGCGGATGACAGAGGTGAGGTGTTGTCTGTTTGGCTTTGAGTCTGGGGGCAGCCGGGCCTAAGGGCCACAGATCCTAGGACAGACCAAAGCAAACGGAAGGACTTGGGGTTCCGGAACAGTCTCAACTACCACTGCTTCTTCATCGCCGCCGCGGACGCCCCCGCTGCCCCCGCCGGAGGACGCGGCCCGGAGAGGCCTCTGGGCCTAGGCGCGCCTGCGGAGCCCGAGGTGTTGGCGCCTGTGCTGCTGTGAGTAGTAAGAGCGAGCGTCCTCGCCACTGTAATTTACAAATTAAGATGGAGGAAATTTCGTTGGCGAACCTGGATACTAACAAGCTAGAGGCCATCGCCCAGGAGATATACGTAGACCTGATAGAGGATTCTTGTTTGGGATTCTGCTTTGAGGTGCACCGGGCGGTCAAGTGTGGCTACTTCTACCTGGAGTTCGCAGAGACTGGTGGTGTGAAGGAGTTTGGCCTTCAGCCTGTGGAAGAGAAGGGAGCGTGCCGCCTGCCACTGTGCTCCCTGCCCGGGGAGCCTGGGAAGGGGCCTGAGCAGCAGCTGCAGCGCTCCCCGCCGGAATTCCAGTAGCTGCCGCCACTTGCGAGAGCCTGAGAATGAGCAGGATCATCACACACTGGTCCTGTGGCTTGGAGAAGTAAGCTAAGTAGAAAAAAATCACAAAAGTCACAATTCCCCCTGAAGATGGAGACTTTAGCAGTTTTGATCCTTTTTTAAGTTTATTCCTTGGGGTTAGCTCTGAATCCTTGAGCAAGAGAAGCTGACCTGCTTGCTCACCATGTGACTGATCACAGAACACATCAGGATGTGCCCAAGGTCCCTGTGCTGCCCCCAGTGCACAGATGAGCATCTCTGTGCCCAGAATGCAAAGCCCTTCGGTTCCTCAGCTTTTAACCACCTGATGCCAAGGGTTTTCTGGATAACTGACAGTTTGGACATTACTGGTGGTCAGGCCTGATCATTGGCTTCAACGAGAAGAAAAGGCTAAAGCCACCTGTTTGTGAAAGGTCCAACATTTACAAGGACTTAACTGACTGAGACGAAGGCTAGCCTTTGGCAGAACAGAGCCCTGGTCCTTGATCCCCACCGGTTGGCACAGGCCTGAGTAATGGACAAACAGCTTGGTTGGCCAGACAGGCTGAGGTAAAATAATGATCCCCTGAGAAGGTAACAGGGGCATCTGCAACTATGCACAATCTTTCAAACTGCGAGATTCCTCTCTGGATGTATGATTCTTGGACCTTGTTTGGTGTGGCAGTCATTTTCCTACTTAAAATTACTAGTTACTTAGCCAGTCTCCTCCCTCCCCAAGAGCAGTGCTCAATTATAGAAGAGCATATCATGGTTTCCTTTGAGGCTCTTTGAAAACTTAGTCCAAAGGAGATCCCTTTAGCTGCTCTGAGTAATATGAGTGGGTTAATAAGAGCCAAGGGCAAGACTGGGTCATCTCTCATTGTGACCAAGTGCAGAATCACTGAATGCCCTACTTGGATTGGTGCAGGCCTAACATTCAGTTGGCTGCTGAGCATCCAGACTGTTGCCACCTCTGCCCCCTTGCAGGGGCAGCCCTTTTCACTTGGCCCCCTTGGGCCTTCTTATAACAGGAGATGTCCTTTTTGATTGGAAGTCAAGCTAGGGCCTCTAGATTTCCTTGGCTTCAAGGGATGGGATGGGGATGTTGTTAAGGTAGAGCTACATATCAAAACTACTCACCGCTTTACTCTGAGTTGGTGAAATTAGAGGGGTGGGAGCCCCAAGGTTAGCAGGAACGGTGCTGCTTTTTTTGAAATGTTTTCTTACCTCATTCTGTGCCCCAGTAAGGGGCCCAGCCTTTTCCCTCTGGCTTGGTCCCATATTTCTCCTGTCCCCAACTCTAATTGCATATCTGGTGCAGCCCAAATTCCCAGGTGCTGCTTGCCACCCTGGCTTTCTCATTGATGGGTTTTAGTTCATCTCTTGTTTCTGTAGCCTGCTCCGTTTCCCTTTCCTTGGCCTTTTTTGGGTTTGTTTATTCTCTGTGCTTATGGAAGACTCAGAAGAATCTTGCTTATGTCTCCCTCTGTTGGGACTGGAACGGAAAAAGAACTTAAATTTTGTGCTTGAAAGGTAGTATCATTCCTAATCATTTCTCCTTTATAGGACTGCCTTGTTAATATACCCTCCTGCTGTGGGTTACTTCATGAGGAGTTATACATTCCCACCTCAACTTGGATATTACCTCTACTTAGGACCTAAGCAGAAGAGCAGTAAAAGCTGATTGATACAGAAATGGAGCTGGTTCTGATCCATTTTCCTGAATCCCTGTTGTGCATGTATCTTTCGTCTTCCTAGAAAGAATTGTTTGAACTCTTTGGACTAATTTGATTTATATACTCAAGAGGGTTAAGAAAATCTTAGAAATAAGGCCTCAAGACTCTATTGTGGCATTGATCTAGAGTGATCCTGATCAGAGTTGAGACCTAGCTACAGATTGGACTTTAAGACTTGTGATTGTTTTAAAAAGTCAAACCTTGGCAAGGGCTAAAATAATTTTTAAAGACCTAGGTTTTCTTTGCCCTTGACTTTTTGTAGCCTTCTCATTCTAAGGGGATGCAGAAGCAAAGAAGGACTTCATTGAGGCTTCAGCCCACTTTCAAATTATGTGGTGGAAGGTTGAAATGAAGGTAAGGGCTCTGATCCAGTCTTCCTTCAGAGAGGAAGCTCAGAGCAAAACATTGCTATTTCTGCTCTGACTTTATCTCATCCTGGTTGGAGGAGGAAATGGTGGAAAGTAATTTTGAGTGATGGTTTAGATTCATATTACCATCCCCTTTGTTTTGTTTGCCTTCCACCATTAGGGTATAGTCCCCTGCCCTAGGTGGGTGTGAAGTGGACTTGATCTAACAGGTACCCTGAGAGAACACACTTTTCTTTTAGGGGAGAGAATGCTCTCTACCATGTTGTTGAGGATGGTTAGGAACTCTGCTTTTCCTGTCTATCTTCCCTTTAACAGCAGAATTCTCTTCCTTCCACCTTAATTATGTGTATTGATCACCCTGGTAATCCTATTATGTATCTGAGTGTGTGTGTGTGAATGTATGTATGGGGGAAGGGGATTCTTTATAAATTTCTGTGGTTTGTGGCTTTTTCTTCCATACATTAGTTCCCACCACCGCATGCCCAAAGGCCACTACCTGGCATTATAGCATGCTGGGATCATTGGGGGAGGGTAGTGAAGCTCACCACTAACCTTTGTTTTGGAGAATCTTATTTTTGCATAGTAAGTAGTTCATCCTATACAGATAGCTAACTAATTCTGTGTATTCCCCTTACCCTTATGGCTGCTGGTGTAAATAAACTGCATCTCCCCATTGGTAAGCAGTCATAATAAATAAACAAAAATGACTTTATTTGGGTCTGTATGTTCATCTTTTCAATTGTACATATTTTTCAAAGATTGATGTGGTAAAATAAATGGTGAATCCTTGTTGAATCTTAGTCACTTTTTCCTGAAGGAGAATTTTATTACAGAGAAACTACTCATCCTTTTTTTGTTGTTGTTAAGCTCTGTCTTTGAGTTTGGTTCCTACCGATAAGGACTCTAGGACACAGTTGTTGTTAAATGCCATCCAGTCAGTTCTGATTCATAGTGCCCTTGTATAGGGTTTCCAAGAAGCATCAGGTGAGTTTGAACTGCTGACCTTATGGTTCAAATTGACCTATCAGTCCAGTGCTTACTCACAGTGCCACACCAGAACTTCATAGGACACTGAATGGCCTTAAAGAGTTTTCGAGACTACAGTCTTTACAAAAGCAGACTGCCATGTCTTTCTCCAGTGGCGCACAGGGTGGGTTCTAACCACTGTCTCTGGTTTGCAGCTGAACACGTAACAGCTGTGCCACCAAGCCTTTTTTGTTGTTAATACAGTTCTTTACATTTAGTTGTCTGCAAACAGCCAGTGGAAGAAACAGGCAAGCTCCGTACACTCTTTTTAGAACTCACGTCTATCACTAATGGCCCACTGTGAAAGATACTTCAACTTTAATAGAACTCTCAAAGTATCTTAATAGGATTTACCATCATTTCCATCTAATGCCCTTACTCTCAAAAAGTAAATGATTCAGAGCAGAAAATAAGAGCCTGTCTTTCTATAGGGGAGTTTTTATTTTTGTTTACTCCAGTTCTTTAAATCTTTTTTTTTCCCTCAGAGTAATTTTGAGATTTTTTTTTTGTATCTTCTAATAACTGATGTAGAGCGTGAGCATTTTCCCTAGGAATTGTTGCATATCTAGGCAGTTCTAGCTCACAGTGACCCTGTATAGTGTTTCCGAGGCTTTACATTTTTTAAGGGAACAGAAAGCCTCGCTAAGTGACTGGTGGACTCAGACTGCCAACTTTGTGGTTCACAGTCCAATGATTATCCCCTTGAGCTACCACATCCCCATACTATTTCTTGGTGGTGATGGTTGTGTGCTGCCTCTAAGTTGGTTCCGACTCATAATGACTCTATAAAAGCAAAAAGCCTCATCTTCTCCCACTGAGCAACCGGCAGATTCAAACTGGTTTGCAGCCCAGTTTGTAATCCAGGGCTCCTTTCATATTGTTCCTTGTGTTGTGTGCTGTTGAGTCAGTTTTGACTCACAGTGACCCTATATAGGGTTTCCAAGGAGTGGGCTGGTGGGTTTGAACCACTGACTTTGTGGTTAGCAGTCCTGTGCTGATTGTGTAGCACCACACCAGGACTCCTACAGTATTGATCAAATTCACTTTTTTTGCTAAATGCTCCAGTTTATTAAATATAAAAAAGATTATAGAAAAGTGGCCAGAGGAAAACCTTTCAGTAGATTGCCTTAAAGAGTTTTATAGGTATGTATTTAAGGTTGTTGAGTCTTCTACGCTTCCCTTCCAAGTACAATAAATTAAATGTTCCTCACGTATAATAATGACACTTAGCCCTGCACAATGTTAATGATGCTGACTAAAGTTGAGAAAATATAAAAATTTGGTTTCTGAAAATGACAGTAAAACTTTAGCAAGACCAATAAACAACTAAAATGAAATATCTCTAACATTTTATTTAAATAAACTCTACACTTTATCAAGGAGTCTGGTGTGGTACTTTGTGTTAATGGATTGGACAGCTAAATTGATTTAAACCTCAAGGTCGGTTCGAGCTCACCAGCTGTTCCTCCGAAACAGGGTCGCTATGGGTCAGAACTGACTGGAGGGCAGTTAACAACAAAAACAACACTTATTGAAATTAAATATATTGTTTGTTGTGAAGTGCTGTCTAGTCAGCTCCGACTCAGTGTTCCTATATAGGGTTTCCAAGGCTGTAAATTTGTAGGAACAGAAAGCCTTCAATAAATCTAAGATTCAAGTGCAGCAACACAAAATACTTTGGGATCTTATTTCATGTTTAGATTTGCATAGTATAGTCAATGCTAACCTACTGGAATGACATATTTGCAAGACCTAAACTTTATGTGGCACTGTGGGTTAATGCGCCAGACTGCAAAGCCGTTTGAACTGCCAGGGCGGTGGATCAGGCTCACCAGCTGCTCTTCGGAAACCCTATATAGGGTCGCTG